TGGAATTTCCTATCATTCACTGGGGTGGTAGGGTTCTCCAGAGAAAACCAATAGAATACCTAAATAAGGTACACTTAAGAAGAGGCAGGAATTGGTTCGTGGTTATGGAAGTCAGGAAGTCCCAGAACCTGCCATCTGCCAGCTAGAGAACCAAGAAAACCAATGGTATAATTCTGTCCCAAGTACAAAGGCCTGAGAATCAGGAGAGCTGATGGCTTAACTCCCAGTCCAAGCTCAGAGGCCCAAGAACCAAGATCTCCAGAGAGATCTTCTGAAAGCAGAAGATGAACCTCCCCGCTCCAGCAGAGAGCATACATTTGCCCTTCCTTTGCCTTGTTCCGTTTGGGCCGCCAAAGGATCAGATGATGCCCCCCTACATTGAAGAGGATGGATATTTACTCATCCTGTTGAATCAAATGCTGACCTTCCAGGAAAACCCCTCACAGGCAGGCACACCCAGAGATGTTTTAGCAGCTACCTGGACATCCCTCGGGCAGTCGAGTTGACCTATAAAATTAGCTATCACAACTGAGCTCAGTTGGTGGACGGGCTGGATGAGGCTCCCTAAATTGCGTCATCACCCAACTCCCCATCCAGAGGCCATTCAGTCTCTGGTGAGCACCGTGATGTCCAGATGCCACACAGAATATGCAAGAATGATGTTTTCTTTTAGAAACTTTGCTTTTCTCCTTTAGTTTTGCTTTCTTAAAAGAGCTTTCTGTCCAGAAAGCACGGAGGAATGAACCGACTGTAAAATGGACCTCTTTCAGAATATACCCTACGCTAGGAAGAGGAATTTCTGTCCTAATTAAGTCATTGGGTTTCCCAAAGCAGCCTGCCTCACGCTAGGCTTTAGTCGTCATTCAACAAATACTGAGTTTCTGTTATGTGCCAAGCATCAGACACAGGGAATAACATCATGAACAAAACATAATCCCTACCATTGTGAAGCTTACAGTGCAGTGAGAAGAGACCGTCAATTAAAATATAAGATACTGCAAGTTCTCTCTCCCTCCCTTCCCCTGTGATCCTGTCTTGTTTCTCAAATACCTCGTATCAGTGAGATCATATGACAAACAAGATGAAGCCAGAGAGGGAGAGAAACCATAAGAGACTCTTAATCTCAGGAAACAAACTGAGGGTTGCCAGAGGGGCGGGGTGGGAGGGATAGGGTGGCTGGGGGACGGACATGGGGGAGGGTATGTGCTATGCTGAAAGCTGACAAATCATGGACCTGTACCCCTGGAGCAAATAGTACATTATATGTTACTGGAAAAAATTACTATAAGTTACATGATATGGGAGAAGTTGATACATGCTGTAGTGGGGCGAGGTAGAACAGGGTAATGGAGATCAGGAATCTAAGGGTGGGCTGGGAGAGGCAGAGTTGGCCTCACAGAAGAGATCTACGCAAAAACTTGAAGGAGGTGACAGTGCTGGCAAGTGTTTAGAAGGGAATCCCACCATGCTGGGGGAATGGCGACAGCAGAGGCCCTGAGTCAGGGTCATTCCTGCATGCACCAGAGGGGTGGAGACCACTGGCTGAAACAGGAGAGAGGGAGGACTTGATGGAAGAAGGCAGAGGTCATGGGGTTGGATCAGTAGAGTGTTGGGAGCCACTGGAAGGACCTTGACTTTTACTTTGAGAAGAGATCCACTGGAAGGTACTGAGCAGAGGAAGGACAGATCTGACTTACATTTTAAATGGTGGCTTGGACCAGTAGGGTAGCAGTAGAAGTAGGCAGAATGGTGAAATTCTGAATATGTCTTGATGGCTGAGCCAAGATGATTTGAATGAAAGTATGAATGAAAGAAAAAATCAAGTGAATGAAGTGTTGGCCTCCACAACTAGGGACGGGGAAGGCTGTCGGTGGCGTGGTACAGCAGATCTGGGGAAGTGAAGATCAGGAACTGTTTGGCTCATAGAGTTTGAGCTGGTCTACGCGGGTACAAGGTGGAGATATCAGGTAGGCGCATGTGAATTCAGCAGTTCAGGAGAGCAGACTCGCCTGGAGACAGGCATGTGTGAACTCTCTGCATACAGAACTAAAAGTCTTATGGGGAGTGAGTGTACACAGAGAAGAGGGCCAGGGTAAGGAGGAACCAGGAAGAGGGTGAAAAACCATCAGGGAAACAGGAAGAAACTGAAGGAAGTGGGATGTCATGAAAGCTAAGTGAACAATGTCCATCGAGGACGCGATCACTGATGTCAGACGCTGCTGCGAGGCGGGGTTAGGCGAGGCCTGGAAACTGAGCACTCACTCAGTAGTACAGCGGTCACCTGGTGCCTTTTAAGAACATCCTCTCGTTATACTAATTCCGAATAATCACTTCATTTTACCAACTCCTGCCCAATTTGCCAACTCCTTTTATAAAATGCCCACCAAAGAGCAAATTATATTATTTGTCCTACTATGAATTTTCATTAGGAATATTCAAAACTTCCAAACTCGTTTTCCATCCGTTGGGTGTAAGTCTGGTGAATCTTACTTCCCCAAGCCCACTCATTTTTAATTATCATTCATGTGATATCATCCCTACTCCTTTTCAAAAGCCCTCTAGGACCCACACTTTGCTCTCCTAAAACCAACAGTTGACAGAACCTACTTCTTTCCCCCTTGTTCCCATGGCTGCCTGTGAAAGAGCCTTTTCTTCAGTTCTGCATTATATTTACTAAATTGATACCTTCACTTTCTGGCTGGGACACAGTAGATGTTAATAATGTGCTTGATGGAGAGAAAGAAGGGAGGAGCAAGTAAGTGGAGAAAGGGAGAAAGGGAAGCTAGGAAAAGAGGATGGAGACTGTCGGTTCCAGCTGGAAAATACACGAGGCTCTCGGAAGGCAGGGCAGTGTCTTCATGCATACTATTTTTGAGGCAAATTCTAGCAATCCTTGGAAGTTATGATATGCCTAGGGCAAGTCAGTAAAAACAACTCAAAAGGAAAATCATAAACATACATCAAATAAGTTCAGAGGCGGAAACTGGTCAGCAAAGTCCTGAATGGTCCTCTATTTAGCGCGGAAAGCAGTACTGTCTGCAGAGGTCGTGACCACTGGAAAGGACCCCACCCGCACACTCTGCAGAACAGGCTTCCGGCCCGGGGAGTAAAACCTCCTCCACCGCAGGACACGCGTTAAGACGGAGCTCCGAGGGCAAGTGTCGGCTTAGGGCGTCCCCGGGCCAGCGCCCGGGGAACCCTCCGGTGGGGGAGTCGCCGGCTCCGCACGTGACCTCCGCCGGCGGCGACCCCGCGCGCGCCGCCCTTGCCGGGAAGAGGTGGGCCGGGAGAGCCACGCGAGCGCCGCGGAGAGCAGCCCGGGCCGGCCGTCCGCGGAGGGGCCGTTGGTCAGGCCGCGGCCCGCGCTTCCCGTGCGGACCCTGACGAGTCGGAGGGTCGCAGAGGCAGGAGCCACCGTGCTCGCGCCACCCCGCGAGTCTCCGGAGCCCTCTCGAACCTCCCGCGCTCCTGCGCCGCGTCCCGAGCGCTCGGCCCGGCGCCTGGGAGCGGCCGCCGGGACCCCGCAGCGCCGCGGAGAAACCGCCGTCCCGGGAGAAGCGGGAGGAAGCCCGCGGCGGGCCCGAGACGGGGCGGCGGTGGGAGGGAAACGCCCGCTGCTCGCGCTCGCGTCCTTCTCGGCGCGGGAAGCCCTGAGGGGCGGTTTCCATTTCATACACGAAAAACCAGTTATTCCGTGACCCCGATTCGGGCCTTCCTGTCTACACAGCAGAGCGCGTCATCAGCACGAAACGTGACGTCACACAGGCAGGAATCACGTCACAACCAACACCATCCGCCTCCCGGGCTCCTAGGACCGCGCGCAGCTCCCGGCGCGGCCGGGGTCCCCGGAGCTGGGCGGACAGCGCGGCGCGGGCTGCTGCGGCCCCGCGGCGGCTGAGGGCCGGGGCCGGGGGCTCGTGCAACGGGCACAGCTGGTTCCAGGCGGGCACGCGGTTCCTGAGCCCATCGGACGCCTCTGCGCCAAACCCCGGGCGCCCTCCCGCTCAGGCCCCTGCCCCGCAGAAGGCGGGCCCCGGCGGTGCGGCAGTCGGAAGCGTCCGGGCCCGAGCTCGGGGTCGCCCGCCCGCCCGCAGCGGGGGGCCAGTGCTCCTGCAGCGCCGGTAGCGCCCCGCACCCCCCAGCCTCGCCCCGCACCCCAGAGCCGCCGCACAGCTCCGGGGCGAGCGGCCAGCGAGTCTCCCCGCCCAACGGCCGCCTCGCTGTTTGCGGGTCTCGTCTAAGCTCGCCAAACCTGTCACCAAGCTCCTCCCGCAACTTGGATTCAGAAGGAAATCCGAGTCATCTGATTTGGTTATTTGGCTACACAATTACCTGAATATTTGACCAAATTTGATTATTTGGTTTAAAAATTTTTCAAATAAATTCCTGTATTAAATCCTTCTGGCCTTTTCTACCTAATTATCCACTTAATGCCTCTCGCTACACCTGTGCCTTACCCTCCCCCGTTTCTCTACCAGGGACGGTAGTAACCACTTACTTGGAAAGCACGTTCTGAAATTCCTCTTTCCTGCCACTACAAGAATCAACACGAACCTGGCTTCCAGGTCTTTCCAAGTCCTCTTTTAAGAAAGAATGGCTCACATCGGCTATTAGGAGGCATTTAACTCATTTAAGGCGAAACCCGTTTGGGATGAGTAAAATGTGTTTTTAGTTCTTTTACTTCATGTGATTATCAAATGACTGTCTTTTAAGGTCACTGCTTTTGTTTAAGGCTCCATTTTTTAAAGCCTTTGTAACATTCCTGATACGACTAATTCCAAGAGCTAATGAAGCGTCTCCAGCAACCCCCCCGCCCCCCCCGGCCCAGTGTGAGGGTTGGCGGGTTGCGTGGTTACCAGCACTGCGCCCTGTGATCAGGGTGGGGCCTCCCAACTTCTTGGTCCCTTGCCTGGAGGCTGTTTCTACTCAAACATTTAAAGTACCTGGAATATTTGATATTGAAATACACGACAGGCAGAAAGTGACAATGCCACAATCTGTACTGATACATGATAAATTTTTATTTACCTACCAAAGGGAAAACCAACACTCACATAAGAGGCCTACCCCGTATTTCCAATAGGGAAGGTGTTTCATTTACTATCCACCTTTAAAAGGTTTCAAATAAAATATAGGTAGGAAAATACATAAAGAATTCAGATTATAAAACTCTCCAGGTAATTAATGGTCATAATAATGTTGGGACTACAGTTAAAAAGGAGCAATTTTATGTAGTCTACTTGGAAGTACAGATAATCAGTACCAAACCTATACATTAGGTTGTAATAAGCAATTGTAAGCAAATGGTATCAAACTGTATAACTCTTAAAAATTTACCTAAAGTTATTATGAACCGTATAAAAATTGATATTATTCTTCCAGTTCTCCCAAAAGCTCTACAAAATCAGTGATGTACCATTCTGCGTTGTCTTTTACTTGTTGTCTGATCACATTTCCTCCAAATCCAATGAAAACATCCTAAGAGGAGAAAAAAGGGGGAAAGAGTTAAAAAAAAAAAAAAAAAAAGATACACCCTGGGGCAGTAAGTGTTCTTTGAAAGAACAAACTGTGCAAAGAAAGGTAAAGCCAAGCCTCCAAGGGGTGCTTTCTTGCCTCCCCTGTCCCAAGAATGAATGAGTCTGAGCACCTCTGTTGCAAATCCACTCAGGCCCAGGCCACTGCAGCCTTCCAGGAGAATTTAAGCCCCCTTAACACCAGCACAATCTCTTACAAAGATAAAATCCCGAGTTCTAAACTGGACACAGGCACAGCTAGGCCAGACAATCTCAAAGAGGGAAGATAAGAGAGAAGCCTGGGGTGCAGGTGAAGTCCCAGTGGCCCTAAAATCGGGACCAGAGCAGGCATCTCCTGACAGGGGCCCTCTGTGAACCTGACGGACCTCCCTCCCAGGGAGGGTGTTACTCTGGGCTGAAGGAGATGACAGCCCCAGGATCTGGGGCAACACTCCACTTTCCATCATTAAATTTAATATTAAATCTATGTTGTTTCCTTAGTATCTACCAAGTGATACCTTCTTCTAGTCAATGATCTTTCAAAGCGGTACTTTCTCTTTTTCTGCCAGGGTATAGGCACATTGTACCTAATTTGGACACTGAAAGTTCTTTTACTTGCCTTTTCTCTTCATTTTTGTTTTCAGACCACACAAGGGGAAAACAGAGCGAGATTCTGACCTTCCAGTTAAATTTAGCCTCATGAGCTTCCTGCCTCCTTGGCAGCCCTCTCTGCAGGCCAGCACCGACTCAGCTGTCCCAACACACTATCGCCTTCCTTCTCTGTCCCCAAGCCTTTCAGGGCTCCCCACGGCCTAGTGGGAACCCCCAAGTGCCTGATACATAAAGTCTTCAGCAGTTGCTGAAGAGAAAGCCCATTCCTGCCAGGTTTTGCCCCCTGACCGGCCCAGATCCGCTCCTAGTGCGTCCCCTCTCTGCTCTGCTGCCCCCCCACCCCCATCCTGCCAGGCCTTCACACGGGGCAGCTAACCTTCCTCTAGATCACACACTCCCCTGACCACCTCTGAGGGCTACACGTCTGCGTAGACACACTCGCGCTCGGTTCAGTCAGGCCTGTCACCTTCTGATGACGGGTAAGGTCCTCTGCAATTCAGTTTGGTCATTTCTTGACATCAGGATTAGCAGCAACCTGACAGAACTCCACACGGTCTCCTTCAGGCACGCCTCGTTCAACTGGCCCAGCCTCTGTGACTAACTCAACGCCAGTGTGGGGGGTCAATCATCTGAAGATGTCTTATCTTGAGTTGACGCAAGTCAGTGAAAAGGGCCCAAAGGTTCTTTAACCACTTTGTGTTAATCATTTACAGAGACAACTATTTTTAGATCTCAGGAAACCAGGTGCTAAAAAGTTCACCACTCTATTTTTGGTTCTGTTTTTCTTAATTTAGAATGAAATGATAAGGATAAAGTCCTACCTGAAAGGGACATATTTGATATTCTGGACACTTACTACACAGCATGCGTTTCCGGCTAGTCTCAGAAAACAGCATTCATTCATAGGAATGAAGGGCTTTAACACAGGCACACTCTCAAACCCCCTGAGCGTCAGTCCCCTAACTAGTAAAAACGAGAAGATAATGTATGAAGAAATACTTTATCAAATATAAAAACACAGGGGCGCCTGGGAGGCTCAGTCCATTAAGTGTCTGCCTTCAGCTCAGGCCATGATCCCAGGGTCCTTGGATCAAGTCCCACACTGGGCTCCCTGCTCCCCCTGCTTCTCCCTCTACCCCCCACCCCCGCTCCTGCGCGCTCTCCGTGTCTCTCTCACTGCACACGCACGCTCTCTCAAAAAATAAAATCATATATATGTATGTATATACATTAAAATTTTGGTTAGAGCTACAAGAGCTGTCTTACTATTTCTGGTATTATTCAGGGAAGTGAAGCCAAAAATCGGGCACACACCTGGGCTGAGAGGTGGCAGGAACCAGGTCATAAAGTTCTAAACCATTCTCTTCCTTAGGTTTGCAAAACGTCAGCTGACACACTGAGACTGAAGTTGTTTTATTTGTTTTGGTTTTTCACAATGCTACCTAGTGCTCTTGTTTAACTTTCACCAATCTCACAGAGTTCCAAATCAGCCGTCTAAAGGAAAGCACTACCAGAAGAACCAGTACGCTTAATACGTACAGCGGGAGGGCAGGCTTCCATGTCTGTGATGCCATCTCCAATCATGACTATTTTCTGAAATTGAAATTTTTCCTTTAAAAGTTTAATAACTTTTCCTTTCCCACCAGATTCGGCAGTTGGCTGCATCTCATCAAAACCTGCATATTCACCTTAAAAAAGCAGTTAAAACAGTGTCAGTGACCCACAGACTTATACCGGTAGAGCCAGCTTTGTGCACAGATGATACCCTCACTTAAACGTCACCGAGAAAGCTAAAAATGGCCCTCAGTAAAGTGACACAGCCTGGATGTCCACACCTCTCCCCACCCTCCCATGGACAACTTCTGCCTTTAAAGTGCAGGTCCCTCTTGTTGAGGTGTTTAGGTCATCAGCACCTTGGGGTCAATGGGTTTTACCCTCTAAGCTGTCAGAGCTGTAATTCTCAAACCTCGCTGAGGGGGCAGAACACCATGAAACAGTAATATATCCAAGCTTTTAAAAAGTTAATATATAATTTCATCTAAGAGGAGATTCCAACTCAGATTTGGTCGATTTTCTTTCTTACAGTAATTCTCACACTCCCTGTCTACGTTTTGTTTTTTTTTTTTAAGATTTTATTTATTTGACAGAGAGAGATCACAAGTAGGCAGAGAGGCAGAGAGAGAGAGAGAGAGAGAGAGAGAGAGGGAGGGAGGGAGGAGGAAGCAGGCTCCCTGCCCAGCAAAGAGCCCGATGCGGGACTTGATTCCAGGACCCTGAGATCATGACCTGAGCCAAAAGCAGAGGCTTAACCCACTGAGCCACCCAGGCAGCCCCATCTACGTTTTTTAACAATCTCTACCTGTAGACCCTTCAAAAATGTTCCAGCAACACATTTACTTTTTTTAAATTAACATTATTTGGTTATAAGGCTGTCAGCCACCCGTGGCCATCATGAGAGACCTCCTGAAATGGTGGGGATGAAGCTGCGGCCCTGTGATGGCCCAGAGAAGAACCAGCAGGCCCTTCAGAGCCGGAACAGAGCAGCGACTCACGGCCAACAAACCCTCTTTCCTGAGCCTAAACTGGTTCAAATACAGAAGAGAGCTCAAAAAACGGAACTATAACACATAACAAAACGAGTCACCTGGGTACAGAGGAATCAAGTGCAGGCACTTATATACCGAGAGATTAGATGGACACTAAAGCCAGGAGAGATGATGGCCTAAGTCTATTTCACAGAGCAAAGGATCCCAAGGAGCAAAAGACACCAGTAGAGAATCGTTCATCTCAAGGAAAAAAAAAAAAGAAATAGAGGGTATGATGCGAAGTGAAATAAGTCAGAGAAAGACAATTACCATACGATTTCACTCCTATGTAGAATTAAAAAACAAATCAGAGGATCATAAGGGAAGGGAGGGAAAAATAAAATAAGACAAAGTCAGAGAGGGAGACAAACGTAAGAGACGCTTAACTCTAGGAAACAAACAGGGTTGCTGGAGGGAGGTTGGCAGGGAGATGCGGCAACTGGGTGATGGGCATTAAGGAGGGCACTAGGTGTAAAAAAAAGAACACTAGGTGTTCTTTTTTTTTTTAAGATTTTATTTATTTATTTGACAGAGAGAGATCACAAGTAGGCAGAGAGGCAGGCGGGGGGCAGGGGAGAAGCAGGCTCCCTGCTGAGCAGAGAGCCCGATGTGGGGCTCGATCCCAAGATTCTGAGACCATGACCTGAGCCAAAGGCAGAGGCTTAACCCACTGAGCCACCCAGGCGCCCCTACACTGGGTGTTCTATGCAACTGATGAATCACTGAACTCTACCTCTGAAACTAATAATATACTAAATGTTAATTAATTGAATTTAAATTAAATTAAATCAATTAAAAAGGAGAGAATCCTTCATCTCAGTGTTTAACTCTGAGCCTGCCTTACTTAGGTTGCATTCCAACAGACATTACATAAGATACCGAACACTAAAACTGACAAGAAAGGGAACATGGTACCATTCAGTTCTTACCATTAAAGTAGAACTTCAGCCTATTGGCAAAAACATTGGTCGACGGGATATTGAGCTTTGAAGCAACATGCTCCACGATGCTCCTAAAGCCACCAGATATTAGGAAAACCTGAACATTTCGCTCTTGGAGGCGACTTACTAGCTCCCTGCAAAAAGAAATATAAAACACCAAAATCACTACTAAACATGAAACATGAAAAGGAAACTAAAATACATTTTCTTGTTCGCAAAGCATTTGCCCAAATACAATGGACAAGGTATATTGCTTGGTTAATTATAATGTTTTATGTATTTTTTAAAAGATTTTATTTATTTATTTGAGAGAGAGTGAGAGCTACAGAGAGACAGAGAGAGCACATACAGAGGGAGAGGGAAAGGAAGAGACTCCCCACTGAGCAGGGAGCCCAATGCGGGGCTCAATCCCAGGTCCCCGGGATCATGACCTGAGCTGAAGACAGACGCTTAACTGCTGAGTCACCCAGGCCCCCCATGTATGTTTTTCTAAATGCACTTAGAAATTAATAGGTGGGGGCACCTGGGTGGCTCAGTCATTAAGCCTCTGCCTTCTGCTCAGGTCATGATCCCAGGGTCCTGGGATGGAGGCCCAGATCAGGCTCCCTGCTCTACGGGAAGCCTGCTTCTCCCTCTCCCACTCCCCCTGCTTGTGTTCCTTCTCTCTTTGTGTCTCTGTCAAATAAATAAAATCTTTTAAAAAAAATGAAGTTTAGGGGAAAAAAAAAGAAATTAATAGGTGGGGCTGGACTGCTTAAGAAACCATCCCACAACTCGATCTGCCCATGAACCTAGAAACAGAAAATGAGGAGGAAACTTCAGCTCTCTCTGTGGAGAAAGGAAGGGCAGATGACTTGGGCAGGGCCAACCACTCAGCACTGCACATAAGAGCTGAAAGAGGCAGGCAGAAGGCAGCGCTAGAGCCACAGTGAGATGCTCTCAAGAGGATATGCCCCAAAATGCAGGTGCTGATGGAGAGACAGTACCCAGACCAGGGTTCCTCTTACCTTATGCCCGGGGTCAGGTGTGGGGGGTGCTCAGCTATGAGCCTTTGCACCTGTTCCCTAGAGGGCTGGATCAGAGCTAAACGCTCTGTGAGGGCAGCCTTGAAAGGCACTGCCCCACCCATGGCTCGCCGTGTCCTGGGAGGAAGAGCCAACAATCAGACTAGGCGAGTCAGAGGTCCCCAAAGTCCATACCTTATCTCCCTAGCTCCTCCAGTGTCCACCCATGAGGAAGGTGCTGCCTAGAGCCCCACCATAAACATGCCACAGTGCCACGGCAGCGAGGCCATGGGAATAAACTTACGGCAGTCTGCCTGAGAATCACATTGATGTTTTGTGGTCACGTCTCACGTCAAATGCAGCTGAGCATGAAATGTCCGTGACCTGGCGACGGCACGCAGCAATGGGGAGGGCAGGAGGGAGGGAAGGGTCTCACCTGCACATAGACTAAGAGACTCTGAACCCAAACTAGCACGCCACTAAGGCCACACAGTCAGCCATGACACAAAGCACTGGACGACTGGGGACCCCCGTGGATCCCCGCCCCCACCCCCCATCATCTTCTCTGGTCAGTTATGGTCGTCGTTTCCCTCACTGGGTAAGAGCCTGTCACTCATATTTATTTTGAGGCAACTATTTTCTTCTGCCATAAGAGTCTGTATAAATGGGTGACGGCATGATGCACACTAGCGAATTCAGCTCTGAGTGACGGAAGAAGCTAACTGCCCAGGGTTTGCTGTCAGGGACTAAAACTCGGGGAATTACGGCCGTGGTCCTGCATGTCACCCAAAGTCACTCTCTCTTGCTATTCTTTATCACTTCATAAAGTGAATAAATACTATTCCTACATTTCTGACACGGCAGCCTCAACACCACAGAATTTGGCTAGCTCATCAATTCCTTCTTCTCTGATGACCGTGCTGTCAACATCAAAGCACACTGCATCTGCGGAACAGAAGAGTTTCCTCAACTCTGAATGGGAGACCATCCTCGGAAGAGTCTTCCTCCTACAACAGAAGAAGACAGACATATTTAAACACGCATCACCGTAAAAAGATCCAATTATGCCTACTAATGCCAAGATACTCTGATCTGTATCAAAGTCAGCATATTCCACATAAACATGGACTCATGGGCTCATTTGTTGACGCTGTTGTTGTTGTTGTTGTTGTTTTTAACACAAAGTAAGCACCATCTAAATGTCAGGCTCTTGGAATACAAAGATGAGCAGGACCAAACTCTTCTCCGGGGAACTCAGTCTGGTGAAGGCGCCGACTTACAAATATGTATCACATTCAACCAATATTCGACTATTTTTGACCTGACAATGCCAGCAGAAAGGCGAGTGCTGAAGTGGAAACTGCATAAGATACTAAAGATACTACAGGCACACACAGAAGACGATTGAGCTGGCCTATGAGACAGGGCTTCCAGGGGACAGAAACTCAACCCAAACCTTGAAGGGTAAGTGGCCTGAGTGGGTTCTCCAAGGGCAGGGCATCAGTTTGGTGGTGCTGGGAGTAGGGGGCAGGGAGATGGAGGCCAGAAGAGAGGATAATGACAGCAGAGAGAAGAGCAGGGCCCAAGGCAAGGAACAAGAATGATGGATGACATTCTGGAAACTGCCCACTGGAGTCCAGCTGCCGGGCAGCACACCAAGGGGGGGCTCTGGGCCAGGCTGATGGGTTTGGATTTTAACATCTAGGTAGTGGAAAATCCTGAAAGGCTTTTTGCCACGGAAGAGAGGTCAGAGCTGAACAGCACATTTGTCAGTCAGCCATACAGAGGGTATGGCCTGACTGAAGTCACCAGAGAGTAGACAGAGGGGGAAAGAGGGGGGCTGAGGACAGAGCTCACAGGAGCAGAAAAGATCAGATTGGGAGCCTGGGAAGGAAAAGGAAAAGGAAGTCAAGACTCACAGGAAGAGACTGAGAGACCACAGAGCTGCAGAAGCGATGGAGGACAGTTTTGAAAGGGATGTCGTGGGTTTTTATTTTTTTAAGAAAATCACTGGACTAGAATCTTGGGGTTAAATGGGATCCTAAAGGTTCCCCAGACCCATCTCTCATCAAATATGTCCCGTATGAGGCCACACAGATGATGCAAATAATCTGTATTGAGAACAGACACTGCTGAAAACAAACCCCAAGGAGCTGCAGTGCACCTGGCAGAAAGGTCCAGGGCAAAGCTGACCTGGGGGAAGAAACGTTTTACATTTTTAACGCCTTTACAGCAGGGGGAGGCAAACTATAGCCGGTAGGACAAATCAGCCTGTTTTTGTATAGTCTGTAAAGTAAGACCAACTTGTTTTTGGTTTTGGTTTTTTTATTGTTTTTCAAGTAGTCTCCACACCAGCACGGAGCCCAGCACAGGGCTTGAATTCACAACCCCGAGATCAAGACCTGAGCTGCGATGAAGAGCAGGACACTTAACCCACTGAGCCCCAGCCCCAGGCACATCTATGTTTTAAATAATTGAAAAAAAAGCCAATAGAATAAAACTTTGCGACACACAGAAATTGCATGGGTTTCAAAATTCAGTGTCCATAATTAAAGTTTCAGAAGAACACAGCCATGTTCACTTGTTTACGTGTCCACAGCTGCTTTTGCACAACACAGCAGGTGGGCTGCTGCAGCAGAGACTGTAAGGCCTGCAAAGCCTAAAATATTTACTATCTGGCCTTTGACAGAAAAACTGCGGACCCCTGTTTGGAACCCTTATAAAAGAGGGCTCTTAATGGGAAATCGGAGTTTCACTGGAGACCCACTGACAAGGGGGAAAGAGAAGACAGTCCGTGAATCCAGTAAGATAATAGAGTATTAAACTCTAACATCAGCCTCAATGTGAATGAAGTTTCCCTTAAACATACTGAGCTCCTTTGCAGGTTGCTTCTCTTCCATTCTCTTAATGTTGCAATGACCACAGTCCACCCCTGGTCTTCTCCAACCATACTCACTCCCCGATGGAATTCATCCGGGCTCATGGCTTGAAATGTCGTCTCTGGGAGAGGAACGCCCAGATGTGTACCTGGAGCCCAGTCCTCTCTCCCAAACTCTCAACTCCAACCACCTACCTGACCTGACTCACATGTCTGGGAAACACCCAAACACAAGCCTAAAACTGAACTCCTGATCTTCTCAAACTGCCATTCTTGCATTTACCTAAAGGTAAATGGCAACCTTTAGGATCCTGTTTACCCCCAAGATTCTAGTCCAATGATTTTCTTAAAAAAATAAAAACCCATTCTCTCCCTTGATGGCCCATGTCCAAAATTCACATCCAATCATTCAGGAAACTATGTTGGTTCTATCTTTAAAGTCTAACCAAAATCAAGGGACTCCTGGGTCGCTCAGTGGGTTAAGCCTCTGCCTTCTGCTCAGGTCGTGGTCTCAGGGTCCTAGGATGGAGCCCCGCCCGCATCTGGCTCTCTGCTCAGCGGGGAACTTGCTTCCCCCTCTCTGCCTGCCTCTCTGCCTGCTTGTAATCTCTCTCTGTCAAATAAATAAATAAATCTTTAAAGTCTAACCAAAATCTGACCACTTCTCACCCTATGCACTGCTATCGTTCTAGCCTGAGTTACCAAGGTTTCTTGCCAAGACCATACCAAGAACCACGTAAGAGGTCTCCCACCCTGGTTTTTGTTCTCAAGGTAACATCCCAAGTAATCATTGTAAGCGAAAGCCTAATCCTGTCACACTTCTAGCTCAAAATCCTTCAATAGCTCCTCATTTTATTAAGAGTAAAAGCCAAAGTTCTTATAATTACGAATAGGGTCTGCCCCCTACACTGATACCATCACGACCACCACCACCACCATGCCCTCCCCATCACACCTCTGACCTCATTTCCTCCTCCTCTCCCCCTTGCTCAACCACACCAGTCCTCCTGCCGCTGCTCTGGAAATGCACTAAGCAGGCTCCCCGCTCAGGGCCTTTGCTCCGGCTCTGTCTCTGGTGGGAATGCTCTTTACTTGCATACCCACGTCGCCAATCCCTTATCAAGAGTTTGCCCAAACAACACTGTGTGTCAATCATACGTCAATTAAAAAAAATAAAATTTTAAAAAACAAGTTTTCCCAAGAATCACCTTTTTCCATGAGCCAACCTTGACCACCCCGTTTATGACTGCAGCCTCTCCCTCCTTATCCTTAACCCAACCTTACTAATATCCCTCACTATGCTTTTTCTTTTTTCTGTAACTTCTATCATTTTCTAACATATGATAAAATAGACTCATTATGTTTATTATGTATTGTCTATCTTTCCTCATTAGGATGCAAATTTCACAAGCATAGGATTTTATCAGCTTTGTTCACTATCCATAGGACTGAGAACAGTACCTAGCATATAGTACAGCTTAATAATATTTGTTGAATTAAGTGAATGAATAAAGCTCGAATGCCATCTTCACTATAAAGTCTTTCCTGATTCCCTGGGGCTGGAAAAAATTTCTCCCTAGAACTTCCACGGTACTTTGGGTAGACCTGTTTTCAATATATAAAATTCACAATAGTCTTACTTATCTTAAACCGATTTATATGTATGTCACCTCTACTCCTGGACTGTAAGCTCTTTATACTAAGATCCAAAATTTTTCAAAACACTTATTTTGAGCCTCTTCTGAGGAGATGCTCAAATAATTTCTGAAGGTTGAATGAATAAATGAAATGATATAGTTGTGAATTACATACCCACAACTATTTTTTTAACTTTTTATTGTAGAGAATTTCAAATACATACAAAAGAGAATGAATACATGAATTCCACATACACATCAACCTGCTTCAACAATCATAGCAAATCATGCTTCATCAATGGCCCCAGAAAGCATTCTGTACCTCGTCCAACAAGGGGGGATTCCTGCACATCTGAGCAATTCTTAGACACTAGTATGGGCCCCCCTATAATTCAACTCAGTTCTGACACTATCCACCCAGATAGCATGAGATTCCCCAGGTTAGGGGTTCAGTTCCACAAGACTGAGCCCTCCCTCCCTGCACACACACAGACACACACACACACACACACACACACACACACACTGAAGACCCCAGTCCAGCTTGTCACCCGTGCTTCAGACCAACTGGCTCCAACAACCTCCCCCTTGGATTTAATTAATTTGCTAGAGTGGCTCATAGAACTCAGAGAAATGTTTTATTTACTAGATCACTGGTATATTATAAAAGGGTAGAACTCAGATGGAAGAGATGTATAGGACAGGACAAGTTATGTGGGAAGAAGCACAGAGCTTCCATACTCTCTCTGAGTATGTCATTCTCCCCGTATTGCCATGTGCTCACGAACCCAACCCCAAAGCTCTCCAAACACGATCCTTTAGGGTTTTATTCATTACAAAGCATGACGGATTAAATCACTGGCTACTGGTAACTGAGCTAGATCACTGGCCCCTCTCTGCTCTCCAGAGGTGAGGGTGGTAGGACTAAGTCACCAAGGTTGGTTCTGTTGGAACAAAAAGAAACACCTTTATCACTCTCATCATAGGAAATTCCAAGAGTTTGAAGAGCTTTGTGCCAGAGATGATCAAATATATTTCTTATTATACATAAATCACAATTTCACATCTAAACACTTCCACATTTTCTCATGATTTCAAAGCAAATCATATCATTTCATCCAAGATATTTCAGTATATATTTCTAAAAGGTAAAGGCTTTTCTTTTTAACATGCCCATTATGTTTCAATTATAAATATACTACTGTACCTGCCTGGATTCAGGTTTGGCTTCTGAGGATTCTAGAATCAAATCAAGTTAAGAACTTAATCATAGGGGCACCTGGGTGGCTCAGTGGGTTAAAGCCTCTGCCTTCAGCTCAGGTCATGATCCCAAGGTCCTGAGATCAAGCCCTGCATTGGGCTCTCTGCTCAGCAGGGAGCCTGCTTCCCTTCCTCTCTCTCTGCCTGCCTCTTTGCCTGCTTGTGATCTCTGTCTGTCAAATAAATAAATAAAATCTTGGAAAAAAAAAAAAAGAACTTAATCATATCAGACCTAATGATGCCCTTGCTAATCCATTCCCCATCATTAGCATATCAATTAACATAATATCTTTGTTATTCAATTAATTTATGCCCTCCATCATTTGGATCCTATTTCACCAACCTATCACCTGTTGCTCTTCTCCCCCAAGATAACACACACACACACACACACACACACACACATACACACAACTTATGTTCAAGATATACAGAAGATGTCTTGTTCCTTAAATATGTCATGGTTTTTTAAATCTCTATGCCATTGCAAATGCTATTCCCTCTGCCTGAAATCACCTAATCCCACATACTCAGTGGGCAAATTCCTATTTATTCTTCAAGATGATAATTAAATAACCTGCCTTATACTACATTATCTCCTTCCTACTCCTTCAGAGAATTAATTAATCACTCCCATTCCTCTCCTTGAGTGAAATATCTTTCATCTTTGTTTCCAGGACCCAGTAGGTATAAAGTAAATGTTTCATAAATTAAATAGAGTTGAATCTAAGAAGTTATTGAGAACTTATAACTGAGATTATTGTTCTCAACAAAACTATTCCAACTTAGGGGTGCCTGGGTGGGTCAGTGGGTTGGGCCTCTGCCTTCAGCTCAGGTCATGATCTCAGGGTCCTGAGATTGAGCCCTGCATGTGGGGGTTCTCTGCTCGGCAGGGAGCCGGCTTCCCCTTCTCTCTGTGCCTGCTGCTCTGCCTACTGTGATCTCCCTCTCTCTGTCAAATAAATAAATAAAATCTTAAAAAAAAAAAAAACTATTCCAACTTAGAGTGCTATTAGCCTAAAATTAAAATCCTTAACCAGCAATGATGACTATCACGAATGAAACAGAATTGACATCATAAATTTTTAAGTTGGAAGAAACCTCACAGCCATCATTTAGGTCTGGCCCCATGCCTTTCTGTAGGAACGATATTAATGTGTCCATTTCACAGATTAATGACCAGAGGTATAAAGAAGTTAAATGACCAGGGTCACACAGCTCCTAAGCGATGGCTAAAAAACTAAAATTTGGATCTCAAATGCATACAGACAGCATAAAAGGTGGTGCATAAATCAAGATGTGGATAAATTGAGAGGCAGATAAATTAAGCAGAACTAAACAAGGTTAAACATTGGATAGGAACCTATCTGGACTGAGGAAATGTCAAAGATTGCCATGAAGAATTCAGACCAGGGTGCCTGGGTGGCTCAGTCGGTTAAGCATTTACCTTTGGCTCAGGTCATGATGCCAGGGTCCTGGGATTGAGCCCCACTTTGGGTTCCCCTCTGCTCTCCCTCTCTTTCTATCCCTCTTCCCACTTATTCTTTCTCTCAAATAACTAAAATCTTAAAGAAAAAAAAAATCAGACCAAAGTTCTGCTAGCTGGACAATGCGATGGGTAATGATTCATTAACAGTGAAAGAAGAAAGTCTGCACATTCTTTGGGAGACCAGTGGATAGAAACAAGTTTCATAAATTGTCAAACCTCCACCAAGCCAGGGAATACCAAGGAGCCTCATATCCCACTCTCTGTGGCTCAGTAACCACCCACATGGCACTGGCCCAGAGGGAATCAACGCATTTCACATCACATGGCAAGACAGCTACCCCAGCACAGAAGAGCACACTGTCAGCGGAGAAGCGGTGCTTAGTGCAATGCAACCCCCCTGAGCATGGAAAACGAGTCATATGTAAATGGAGGGAAAGCCAGGAGCAGACACATTACCTAAGAAGAGCTAAAATGAAATAAATGGGACAGGCTAAAGACTGTGCATGAGGCAGCACAACATAACTAAGAATGGGCAAGACTCCTGAGAAGGACTGACAGGCTCCTGAAGCCTCAAAACTCCTCACCCCAAAGCCAGTCCACACTGCCCCCCTGTGCCTAGCCTTAGACCTGGGAAGTACAGAACGGGCATCATCTCCAAGAGGTGACCAGTCTCACTGAGATGACCAGACCAATCATTATTGTTCATGTCTGAAAAGCCAGTGGCTTGAGCTTCTCCCCAACCACAGACAAAACAAATAGCTTCAACCACACCATCAGCCTCAAATACGGAAGGAAACACACATTTCCTTAAGTAAAGTGAGGGCTGACTTCCATATCCCCAGATGAACACGAGTCCTGACTTATGACTCAGAATTGCCAACGCCTCCTGGGGTGCACTATGGTGGTACCAAAGGCAGAGAAAATACAATGTTTGAGACAAAAGTGGCACTGAATTTACTGGGAAAGCGGAATCTTTCTCCACACCCTCCCTAGAAGACAGAGCTGGATTACAGAACCTTAACTTTGCCCACAAAATGCTCATGTCAGGGGATATGCCCTCCACCCCAGGGGTTACACAGGTTTCAGCTCCCTGCTCACACTCAGAACAAACAGCCTGAGCCTCACCTAGCCCTTCCCAGCCCACACCGAAAAATGCCCTGCCTCCTTATTCACTGCCTGTTGCCTTTTTTCTCAGCTCTCCACCAGGAGCCGCTCATTAATTCAGTCAAAATTCTCATGTCTACAAGGGGGGAAAAGAATCTGGTAAGTTCAGGTGCTTCCAAGTAAATTGTGAACCTTAGAATTCCACACACACAAAACTCCTTGCTAGAGAATGGACTCTGGATCCCTCGCATGTGGCCCCGGCAGGGGGACAGGACAGGAGGCGGAAGAAGTCCTGGTGGAAGGGTATGTGCTTTGACATGGCAGCTCCCAGGCCCAGACCGCTGAGCCCCTCCCTTCCGCGGGTCAGAACAGGTCTCCCACCCGCCCGGCGCCCAGCTGGTCCGTCCGGGGGAAAGAGAGGGCCAAATGGTGAAGAAGCCTTTGCTGACGACCCCTTCTTACCCTCAGGTCCAAAAGTACAAAAGCAAGTTTTTCTTCAGGGCCAGGCTTAGGGGGTCTGATTTTAGATAAGAGGGGAAAACCTCTTCACCCAGAATCTCTTTGAACTCCTTCATCTCTGTATTTCATGAGAGGCATCCAAAATCGCTTCAGCAGCTTACTCTTTGTCAGGACCGACCTCTTACCTTCCCCTGTGTAAGAACAAATGCAGGTACAGAGACTGTGGAGATCAAGCACATCCAAGAGAATAAACCTTACCAGGCTTAGATGGAGGTCACCTTGCAGAGGAGCGGGGAGTCTGCTTCAGGTCCTCCGGGCACTGCAACAAGGCACAAATGCAGCCTGAGAAGCTTCTGGGTCAGAGGAGAGTCAAAGAGCCTCTGGTAAGTAGGCCTAGGGCTCCCAGTCAATGCATTTATAGTGTATTTTATGACTCAAAAAAACTATAGCTGTTCTGGAGAACCTGAGATTTTATGGATCCCACATACATGACAGCAGACAGTTTTATTCAGGTGAGGAGGAAACTGGTAATGATAAATGACAACAACAAAAGACAAACCAGACTCACGTTTCTCCAGTGCTGGATTCCTGGGAAAGAACGCTCTTCTCTCCCTGCTTCTTTCCCGAATAAAAATGCAGCATAAAGCTCTGACTACAAATCTCTTTACAAGAGATCTTGAGAGTTCTGCAAGATGAGAGCCTAGAAGGAGAGGAGGAAACAAACATCAAGGTCCAGACACAAGAGAAGAAAGGAAAACTGTCTAGCTTCCCTCTCCCCACTGGTAGGACTGGTACGAAGAAGGGTCAAATGCAAAGTTCCCTAAGACTGCTTCCCTTGCGAAACGCTTGACTTCTGCCTCCTTTCCACACTGCAGAGGAGTAAACACATTATTTTCTCTGGCTTTGATTCTGCAAAAGCTTCAGGTCTGACAGGAAATCACCTAACCCAATTAGCAGAATGCCAACGAGAGGGAAGGGGGAGAGGATCTACTGAGAGAACAAAACGCAGACAGAGTGCTGACTCAGGTATATCCCAGACTCTGCAAAACAGATCCTTCTGTCTTCAAAAGGAGTAGACACAGTGGCCAACAGGCCAAGAACAGTCAACGAAAAGTTCCATTGCCCAATATCGAGGGAACACAGCCAACAATATTGAATTAATATCCTCATAATTAAAACTGTAAGTAGAAGTAGATAAAAGTACCAAAACTCAGAAGAAAAAAAGATAAAAGAAATAGTTAAGAAGATGAGGCAAGAAAACGCAAAGAGACTGAAGAGGGAACCATAATGGCAATAAATAATTCAGAGGGTTCAAAATACAGACCTTGCGTAACCTTTCTCTCATCCAATTTTTGAGTTGGTCTCAAAAGCAAAGAAAAGGAATGTGGCTTCCATCTTGGCCCAGCCTCCCTCCTGGCTATAAAAAAAGGCAGTTGCCATATTGGTAGCTGCCCTATGGTGAGGCCCATGTGGCAGAACTGGAAACAGCTAAAAAGGAACTGGGACCCCTGATCTAACAACCCTCAAGGAACTGAATCCTGCCCCCCATGTGAATGAGCGAGGCAGCAGATCTCCAATAAAACATTCAAATAAACTGGCCTTGGCCAACGTGACCTCTTGAAAGACCCTAAACCAGAACCACCCAACTAAGCTGCTCCCAAATTTTTAACCCACAGAAGCTGTGAAAAATGAATGTTTGTTTTAAAGCTGCTAAGTTTGGGGCTAAAGTGTTATACAGCAATAGGTAGCTAGAATAACAGCTTTGGGGCAGGTAAAACTTTCTTAAATAAAGCATGAACAATAAAAGGAAAGCATGAGAGAATGGACTTCCTCAAGATTAAAAACTTGCACTTGCTCTTCAAAAGATACCATGATGGGGCCCGTGGGTGGTGCGGTCAGCTGAGCATGTGACTCTTGATCTCAGCTCAGAGCCATGACTCGGGGTGGTGAGATCAAGCCCCACATCAGGCTCCACACTGGGCACAGAGCCTCCTTAAGACTCTCTCTCTCTCCCCCTCTGCCCCTCCCTAAAACACACACACACAACAACAACAACAACAGATACCATAATGGGGAAAAAAAAAGAAAAGAAAAAAGAAAAAGAAAAGACAAGCTACAGAACAGGAGAAAACACTTATCATACACATATTTGACAAAGAACTTGTATCCAGAATAAAGAACTCTTACAAGTCAGTAATAACACAACTTATTAAAATATGAGCAAAAGACTGGGATAGACACTCCAGAAAAGAAGATATGAAAATAAACTGAAAAGAAGAATGACTAAGATGAAAAAGACAGACCACACCAAGTATAGGTGAAGACAGGGAACCGCAGAACTGCTCGGGATAGGAAATGGTACCACCATTCTGGAAAACATTTTAGTGGTTTCTGATAAAGTTAAACAGAGGTTTATCCAAGAGAAACCTTCTTTGTGACAGCCCCAAACCAGAACGTCCATCAGCAGAGAAGTGGTCAACAAACGGTGGGATATCCCCACACAGGAACAGTACTCAGCGATCCAAAGGAAGGAATTAGTACCAGGCGCCAAAATAAATACAGAAAACGTGATACTGAAAGAAGCCCATCACAAAAGACTGCATACAGCATGATTCCATTTAGAGGACACATTAGAAAACACAAACGCTATAACGACAAAAATCAGGTCATTAGGGCTCGGGGTGGGGCGACCCGACTGCAAAGTGGCCTTGGGAACCCTTCAGGGGAGATGGAAGTATTACATCTGCTGGCGATTATAAGTGTGTAGATAATCTCGAAATTCACCCAAATGTACACCTAAAATGGGTGCGTTACTGTTGCGTCAAATTATACCTCAAGAAAACATCAGCTTTGGAGAGGTTATTGACATGCATCCAGTTACCTGAAAACCTCAACCGTCCCGACGGCTCGAGGTCACCCACGTGACAGTGAGGGCACCGCGACCACACCGAGCACCCACCAGCAGCTGTCGTAATACCATTCAGAAATCCTGGATTTTGTCCCTTCCCCCCCGGACCCTCACGCCCGCACGGGTCAGTCCAGCACCGGACGAGCAACTCGGCGCGCGGCGCCCGTGAAGAAGACACAGTAAAGCTTCTCTGACCAAGCGGACTCAGCCCCTGACTCGCGGCGGTCGCTGGCAGCAGCGGGTCCGGCAGGTGCTCCCCGGACACCCCAGCTCGGCCGGGAAAGACGGCCCGGCCGGAAGCGCGCGGAACCCCGACCTCGCCCCGGCGACGTCCCGGTGCAGGATTGCATCATTCATTCACGCGGCTCGGGAACCGGCGGCAGGGTTAGACCGGGGGCTGCTCAAGAGTACACCGGGAAGCGAAAGCCTGGAAACCCCACGAGCGTTTCCCCTGCCGCGACCGAGAACGCCGCCGGCCACGGACAAGGCCCGGCTCGGAGACCTGAAGTCGGCACCGGAGCGCCCGGCACGCGCCCAGACTCACCCGGGACTGCTGCCCTTCCTGGTTCCCGGGCTGCCCTTCCGACTGCAGGCAGCCGCGGGCGCGCCCCGACCCTCAGCCGCGGAGCTCCGAGGGGCGCGGCCTGCGCAGACCAGCCGAGGTTTCCCCGAGCAGCCCCGTGAGGTCTGCTGGCAGCGCGGCGGCCTCCGGGCGGGTTTCCCAGCCGCGGACCGCACAGCAGCGCAGTAGAGCCTGGCCCCGCCCCTGGGCGGGGCTTCTCTGAGCCCGCCCCTCGGCCGTGGACCTGCAGCCTCGCCACCTCCCGGCCCCGCCCCTGGGCGGGGATTCTCTGAGCCCGCCCCCCCTTCACTTCACGCGGGAGGGGCCGAAGTGCTCCTGGCCCGCCCCACTAGGAACGAGAGTAAGAGAAAGCCAGGGACTTCTGGGCTCCTTAGGGACCTTTTCTGCAATTAACGGAAGCTCCTAGGGATCTTTTTTGAATTCACGTTTGACCTTCTGTTCTAGGAATGTAGGTCTCCAGGGGAATTTCAGTAACTACTTCTATTCATATTATATACCAACCATCAGTTAAAAATATATACAGTATCAAAAGCAAAACTACTTATATTCGCAACTAAAATGCAGAAAGCTATGAGTGACAAAATGAGTCTGATTCTTTTTCTTATCTTTTTTCTTGTCATCTTATTTTCTTCTAGGTGTCACTTGCCGAGCTACTTTTGACTATAATAAATAAGGGGTGAGCACCTCCACACATTTACCTTTGGGTCAGCTGGCTGGAGCAGGACAGTTAGGTGCCGCCCTAAACCTCAGGCGCTAACAGTTCAGGTTCCCTACAAGTGGTCACTCAGGGAGAGGGGACGCAATTGCTGGAGCAGGACACTCGGTCACCACATCCCTGCCCTTTGCTACAGAACCTCTCAAAAGACAGTTCTATCCGGAAACAAGAGTGCTGCTGCTCTGTAGCCAGGCGTGCCCTTGAAGTTCAGCAAGAAAATGGTTGCAGGTTTGGGGCACATCTGGTTTAATTTCTCCCAGATGTGTCAAAGAAGGTTCTGATCTGAAGAATGGAGAGGTGGAATTTTGATGTTCTGAAATATGAGGTAAAAAATGATACCACTAATGGGGGAGGGTAAAATAAGGGGGCCTAAAATAACAATCTAATTAAGAACCTGTTTATATTTTGTAGTAGACATCAGTATAATAAAAGATGTTAAACAACAAATATTTGTATATAAGCATAGACGGTAATTGAGTATTTCTAGGGGGAAAGAAACGCAAGTATAATAATGTGGAAAAGTATAATTAGTTCCTACTATTATTCATATTTCATAGATGCTTAATATGAAACAGATTTCAAATAAAATATTTGCACTGAATAAAATCTGTCAGCTACTCATGGTCTCTGTACCTACCTCATAGTTACATCTGTACTAACACTTGGGTCATGAGGTAGCAGTGCTCTACAACACAAACCACACTGGAAAAAAAAAAAAATGTCCAGAGGAAGCTAATGGGTGGTCACAGATACATGAAAGAATCACAAAGTAATCTTGCCTAACAAGTCATAACTATACAAGGAGATTATAATATGCTTCATTGTTGTTCTTCAGGAACAATGTTAAATAACACATGTAAGCCAAATGCAATGCACTATTATTTGCACAGCTTTAATCATAATTGGTTAGTAAAAAGTAATACAGGTAATACTAGTAGTATTCCTGAAAGGTTTCCTATATGTCACATTTTTACAAGCTAACATATTCACTGATGATTAACTGTGTTAGGGTCATGTACTTTTTTTTTTTTAAGATTTCATTTATTTATTTGAGAGAGAGAAAAAGAGAGCATGAGATGGGGGAGGGTCAGAGGGAGAGGCAGACTCCCCATCAAGCAGGGAGCCCAATGCGGGACTTGATGCCAGGACTCCAGGATCGTGACCTGAGCAGAAGGCAGTGGCCTAACCAACTGAGCCACCCAGGCACCCTAGAATCATGTACTTTTTAAAAATAATTTAGTGCTAATAAAATAGCCTTCTAAAATAAAGTAAGTTGGGGGACACCTGGGTGGCTCAGTGGGTTAAAGCCTCTGCTTTCGGCTCAGGTCATGATCCCAGGGTCCTGGGATCCAGCCCCGCATCGGGCTCTCTGCTCAGCAGGGAGCCTGCTTCTTCCTCTCTCTCTGCCTGCCTCTCTGCCTACTTGTGATCTCTGTCTGTCAAATAAATAAATAAAATCTTTACAAAAAATAAAAATAAAGATAAAATAAAATAAAGTAAGTTGGAACAATCACTCCAGAAAACAACATGATATCGTTCAGTAACACTGAACATGGACATTTTCTATGACCCAGCAATTCCACCTCTGGAATGCTCAGATGAAATTCTTGCACATGAGTAGCAGGAGTCACATATAAGAATGCTCATGATACTGTACACATATAAATAGTCATTGACCAGACACTTAAAAAAGAGAGTATCATTTAATATCATAAAGAACTTACAACATAAAATCCAGGGTGGTAGTTATTTCTGGAAACAGGAAAGAAAATGAGACTGGGAAGAAATTATAGATTTCTTTAATGGCAGTGAGTATATATACTTTTATATCTGTGTGCATATATATAAAATATTTTATGATACATGTGATATTTGTATATCAATACATTAAGTACCAATACATTGAAATATCATGTTTTAAAAGAATGTAGTTAAAGAAAAATACAACTTAATGTAAACACTGACTTTCAAAATAAATCACACAGTGCACATATGTCCATGATATGTCCTGTGAATGAGGCAGACTGCAGAATAATATATATTGGTCGATTCCCATTTCTGAAAGAAGAAAACTCTGTGCATGTAAACAGTAATTCTGGTGAGCAATTAATCCTGGGGAGTAAAAGGAATGAAGAATTTACCTTTCTAATTTATTTGGTTTCATATTGGTTGAGATTAGTTTAAAAAATTTATTAGTTTTATAATGGTTTATGAATCAATTAAAACTAAATGCTTTAGGAGTAGGGAGCATGAACTCCATGAAGGTGGCCAAAAGGTACAAATTTCCAGCTATAAAATAAATATATTATGGGTATGTAATTAAAAAGAGAAAACCTCAGGTTTTTTTCCTCCCCACGTAGGAAGCAAAACCCAATTCTTTCCTCCTATGTTGTCTTTTACTACTTACACAAAACACTTGACTTCTGGTCATGAAATGTGGAAGTTTCACCAGCTGTGTATCCTATTATCCTATAATTTAACTCAATTCTGACACTATCTTCTCAAACATAATATCCCACAAGTTAAGGGCTCAGTCCCACAAGATTGCCCCCATCCGCACACACATTTCAGATACCAGTTATCATCTGTGTTTCTGACTGACTAGCTCTAGATTAGAGGTTCCAGCGACCCCCTCCTTAGGTCTGATTGATTTGCTGGATCATGTACTTTTTCAGAACTCAGAAACACATTTACCAGCTTACTACAGCATAGAGACGGACAACCAAACGTAGAGATACACATAGGGTGAAGTCTGGGAGAGTCTCAAGTGCAGGAGCTTCAGTCCCCATGAAGCTCGGGTGTAGCACCTCAGGGTATCATACAACCTGGCAGCTCTTTGAACCCCATACACTTTTGGGTCTTATGGAGTCTTCAGAGGCATGATAGATCAGTAACTCCATTTTCAGCCCTTCTCTCTTCTCAAGAGAATGGGGGCAGGACTGAAATCTCCAAGCTTCTAATTATGGACTGGTCTTTCTGGTGACTAGGTTTCATCCAGAACCCCACCCAGAGGTGCTCCATTAGAACACAAGATGCTCTTAGAACACAAGGGTATCTGGGTTGCTCAGTGGGCTGTCCAATCGAAGCAGGAGCCATAGAGGAAATACACACATTGCCACCTGAAACAAGGGGGAGAAACACCGTGGTTTCTCATTTCCTCTCGTCAGGGTTTCTCTTGGCCAAATCTAGCTAGAAGCCAGCTGACACGGGAACCTAAGGGGAAATGTATTTTCTGTAGGTGTCAGACAGAACAGAGCAGAGGAAGAGCAAGGAACAGATATGACAAAGGCAGGCCAAGGAACAGCACAGATTACAAAGACCTACAAATAAGTAATAAAAAACTAATTCCAGAGGCGCCTGGGTGGCTCAGTGGGTTAAGCCTCTGCCTTCGGCTTGGGTCGTGATCTCAGGGTCCTGGGATCGAGCCCCACATAGGGCTCTCTGCTCAGTGGGGAGCCTGCTTCCCCCTCTCTCTCTGCCTCTCTGCCTGCTTGTGATCTCTGTCAAATAAGTAAATAAAATCTTAAAAAAAAAAAACACACAACTAATTCCAGTAGAAAAATGGGCAAAGAACATGAATATGCAATTCACTAAAGGCCAATAAACAAACAAAAAAAACTAATTAAACTAGTAAAGAAATTCAAAGAAAAATAATGAGTTACAAATTTTTTCGCACATACACAAAGATGAAAAAGGTTGATAAGGATGCAGGAAAATGGGCCCTTATCGGCAGTGTGAATACAAATGCATGCAATTTTTTAACTTCTAGTTACCAATCCCAAAGAGCTCAATCAATGCAGAAATATTTCTCTTTCAGGGTGTTCATTAGATAAGTTAAACAATTTACGTTATGTATATACCATGTGGTATATATATGTATGTATTGTATATATATATTATACAATAGAATACAGCATAGCCATTTAAAAGGATGGTAAATCTATATTTATTGACAAAGAGCTTTTGGACAAATTACTGAGTAAAAATGCAGAATATAAAACAATATATACAGTATGAACTTATTCATATAAATCTATATGTAACTGGAAGATATTTGAAATGTTTACCAAAATGCTGAATGGCTGCCTCTCGATGATTTTCACTCTTCCTTGTACTCTTTTGTGTTACTTGAATCTCCTACATGGTTACGCATTAAGTATTACATTTGTCATTAGGGAAAACATAAAGCTATCCTTATAGTGGAGAAAAATAGGAACACTTATATTATAAAGCGATAGGATTACAATATAAAAAGTGCAGCCATTCATGACTGAATCTTCCCTCTCCTCCTAGAAATTCTACAAAACAATGGAGAGTTGGTTGAGGGGGACCTGAATATCCTGTATTCCACAATACTAGAAGAAAAGCCACTAGAGACTCCAAGGCCTGAATAAGGGCCACCTACAGCAGCAGAGATTGGG